GATTCGGAGTCCTGACTCTCTTTCTACATGGCTTTTTAGACCAATTAGTTCTTCTATATCTTTAACTATTACGAATATATCATAGACACAGCGGCAGTATACACTTGGATTATACCTTCTACTGAAGACCTTGACAGTTCACACGTGAAAATTGAACATTCGTAGAGGAAAGTCCATTGCTACTCCGTCTGTCTGAAGTCATCATTCCTTCCGGACTAGTGAAAGAAGTAGCAATGGGCTCTCCTCTAGCAGTGCAATTTGCTAATTTTCACATGAGAACCATCGATGACAGACTCTTCAGTAGTAGGCAAAAACCAAGTGAAAACTACCGTTATAACTTAATGAAATTATATTACAAATCCACTATGCACAGTGAATAAAAGGAACGGGAAGTAATAATGAAAGAAATAGTCCATAAATGAGTAAAAAAAGGCACAACCCGTGACCGCAACATTGACATCACCATATATTATAAAACAAAGAAGACCACTGACGATCTTAAGAAAGCCGGAGGCCAACTGAGAACCCTTTACAGCAGTCGAACGTGGTGTGTGTGTGTGTGTGTGTGTGTGTGTGTGTGTGTGTGTGTGTGTGTGTGTGTGTGTGTGTGTGTGTGTGTGTGTGTGTACTCACCTAGTTGTGCTTGCGGGGGTTGAGCTCTGGCTCTTTGGTCCCGCCTCTCAACCGTCAATCAACAGGTGTACAGATTCCTGAGCCTATTGGGCTCTATCATATCCACACTTGAAACTGTGTATGGAGTCAGCCTCCACCACATCACTTCCTAATGCATTCCATTTGTCAACCACTCTGACACTAAAAAAAGTTCTTTCTAATATCTCTGTGGCTCATTTGGGCGCTCAGTTTCCACCTGTGTCCCCTTGTGCGTGTGCCCCTTGTGTTAAATAGACTGTCTTTATCTACCCTATCAATTCCCTTGAGAATCTTGAATGTGGTGATCATGTCCCCCCTAACTCTTCTGTCTTCCAGCGAAGTGAGGTTTAATTCCCGTAGTCTCTCCTCGTAGCTCATACCTCTCAGCTCGGGTACTAGTCTGGTGGCAAACCTTTGAACCTTTTCCAGTTTAGTCTTATCCTTGGCTAGATATGGACTCCATGCTGGGGCTGCATACTCCAGGATTGGTCTGACATATGTGGTATACAAAGTTCTGAATGATTCTTTACACAATGATTGTGTGTGTGTGTGGAAATCACGAAGAAATTAATACGTGATGAACAATGTAACAATGCTAGACCACGAAAGAAGGAATGAGAATGGATATTTCTTAAATTAGGGAATTTACTGTCTCATTCCTTCTTTCGTGGTCTCACATTGTCATTGTCTTAAAAAATATATATATATATGTGTGTGTGTGCGTGTGCGTGTGTGTGTATGTGTGTGTGTGTGCGTGTGTGCGTGTGAGGGATCTCATTATACAGAAAATCACACACTTCTCCGTGCGCTGCACTCCCAAAAATTCCCCACCACTCTCGCGGCCAGGGGAACGCCTTCAATTTCAATCTCTCTTTCAGCGTCTTGGGAGCCGGACCGGTTCTCCAGGAAATGGTCGCTTTATCCAATTCCCGCTACGAGCCCACCAAATCCGCCGGAAATCTGCTAAGAACTGCAGTATGATTGCTTGCTTAAAGCGGCTTTGCCTATAGCCATTGTGAACTCTCCCGCTCAAGCACAAGCTGCTCTTGTACCAAGTCAAAATGGTTAATGTATATTGCTATTGTATTATTATTATTAATATTATTGCTATTTCTTTAAACGTTTCTTAATAAAGTTTGCACTTGAGTTTGAAAGCTAGTACTCCATTTATATTATTATTTTGTACTAATGTTTCGTGTACACACTACTGTTTCGTGTACACAATAATGTTTCGTGTACACAATAATGTTTCGTGTACACACTAATGTTTCGTGTACACACTAATGTTTCGTGTACACTATAATGTTTCGTGTACACAATATTATTTCGTGTACACAATAATGTTTCGTGTACACAATAATGTTTCGTGTACACAATAATGTTACGTGTACACACTAATGTTTCGTGTACACAATAATGTTTCGTGTACACAATAATGTTTCGTGTACACACTAATGTTTCGTGTACACAATATTATTTCGTGTACACAATAATGTTCCGTGTACACAATATTATTTCGTGTACACAATAATGTTTCGTGTACACACTAATGTTTCGTGTACACAATATTATTTCGTGTACACAATAATGTTTCGTGTACACAATATTATTTCGTGTACACAATAATGTTTCGTGTACACAATAATGTTTCGTGTACACAATATTATTTCGTGTACACACTAATGTTTCGTGTACACAATAATGTTTCGTGTACACAATAATGTTTCGTGTACACAATAATGTTTCGTGTACACAATAATGTTTCGTGTACACAATAATGTTTCGTGTACACACTAATGTTTCGTGTACACAATATTATTTCGTGTACACAATAATGTTTCGTGTACACACTAATGTTTCGTGTACACAATAATGTTTCGTGTACACAATAATGTTTCGTGTACACAATAATGTTTCGTGTACACAATAATGTTTCGTGTACACAATATTATTTCGTGTACACACTAATGTTTCGTGTACACAATAATGTTTCGTGTACACAATAATGTTTCGTGTACACACTAATGTTTCGTGTACACAATAATGTTTCGTGTACACAATAATGTTTCGTGTACACACTAATGTTTCGTGTACACAATATTATTTCGTGTACACAATAATGTTTCGTGTACACAATATTATTTCGTGTACACCCCAGACAATACATGGGACAAGTCTGCCATAGGGCATAATCTCTACACTTTTCTATTCAAGACTGTAAACCTATGAACGGGTTTGGGTTGAACAATAACTCATTATTCTTTTGTAAATTTCTTTGTTTCAATCTCGCGTGATAACAATGGGGACCTGGAAAAGGGTGTTTCCTTACATTTAACCTTTCAATTTCGTTGCTTTCAAATTGTTTGCGAATTTGGTTTTCATTTCAAATTTTGCAATTTTTGTTCAATATTTATATATTCGTATGTTTATAGTATATACTTGAATGATCCCTATGGAGAGATATCACTATAACTCTATGATCCCTTAAAGGATTCGAACCCAGGCCGCCAGGAGTTTCCACGCCAATGGTACTATGACCACTGCACCAACGATCGTCCATAAGTGTTGGTTGGTCATGGCACTTACCTGCACAAGTGTTGCGACCAACCATCACCCGGCGACACTCGTGGCGCCTTCTGGAGGCAGTTATTTAATCAAACCTCTAAACGTGCGTGAGGAATAATCAAGTAAAAGTCAGCGTATGAATGTTAACGAGTAGCTTTGTTATCTTGTTGAATTTCAATGTGGAAAGCGAATGTTTTAATTTAATTCTTATTTATGCTGATTTGCATAATGAAATGTCAGTGCATAATTTGACATAACATATGCAAATTATGTGTAATCCTCGGTAAATATTGCTAGGAGTAAGAGAACCATAAGTGCTTAAATATAATCCCTTTCTCCTCATGTTTTAATGTGTCTATGTGTTCCAAGAATTGTTTTGAGTTGTGGTATTGATAGGCAAACGAAATTAAACGTAATTTAAGAAAGAGTTAGATAACCACATAATTGTGAATTTGATTTAATGTGTGATAGTAAATACGAAGAGTGCCGCTGGAAGATTGGGTTGTACACAAGCAAAGTAATAAGTGGTAATTAACAGTCTCCTTAATCATTTACTTGTGCATTGTTACTCATTCGTTCCTGTAGAGTGGAACTCAAGATTTAATTGACATGTCGTTATTTAAGTTATAATTCCCCAGTTCTTGTTATAAACCTTTACATGGTTCAAGTCTCCGTGGTGTAGTGGTAAGACACTCGCCTGGCGTTCCGCGAGCGCTATGTCATGGGTTCGTATCCTGGCCGGGGAGGATTTACTGGGCGCAATTCCTTAACTGTAGCCTCTGTTTAACGCAACAGTAAAATGAGTACTTGGATGTAACAACGATTCTTCGCGGCAGGGGATCGTATTCCAGGGACCTGCCCGAAACGCTACGCGTACTAGTGGCTGTACAAGAATGTAACAACTCTTGTATATATCTCAAAAAAAAAAAAAAAAAGTGAATTGTTAAACTTTTCCTGGTGGTCTTATCCTCATGCTTCTGGATTACAAGAGACCATAATACGTTATTCAATGCGTACTGGATTGAGGTCTGGGCCGGGTAGAGATGTTAATAATGCTCTAGGACAACAATTCCATAACAGATACTTAGTGCTTGAAGCTTTGCAAGCACTGCACGGTGGTGTTATACACCATTAATTTCCAGTGAACAATTCAGCTGATGTTGGTGTTGGTCAGTGATTAATACCACTTACTGGAGTTGTTTAACCAAAGATCAGGAGCAGAACGACATTTTGTGACAACATATTCCCGATCCTACTTTAACCGATAGTGGTAAAAATAATCTTGATTTGTTGTAAAATTATTGTCTGAAGAATTTTGTCAATAACTAAAAGCAGAGACACTGATTAATAGTTCCCAATAGTGCTCTTCCTTCTATGGACTAGACATATTACTTCAAGTAGGCGCAATAGGTAGAGGTGTTGATCGGCCCAACTGGCCCATCTACGACCGGCCCAACTGGCCCATCTACGACCGGCCCAAGTGGCCCATCTACGTCTAGTGATGTAAACACGTTGTGGATTTCGTCTTATGTAATAACCGCAGCTTTAACACAGTTCAGGGACTATGCTACTGATGTTTTCGTTCTGGACAAGGGACCTGCACCCAAGGAGAAAACCCTTCATTCATTAGGTAAACTTTTTACTGATGGGTTGGTGCCGGTTGTATCTTCTCGCTGTGGAGTATCCATGCCGCCACTCTTCTTACCACTACCAGACTTTGCAACCCATTCTTCCTAATGCAAGAATTTTCCTGTTTCTGATTCTCATGGAAAGATAGGTCACGTTTAAACATCTTTCATATGACGATATGATCCTCTGTGAACACTCATCTTGTGAGCAGAATTGTATCCTTGAGGCATACAATGTCTGTGGGCATGTCTTGTGGATGTGGGCATGTCTTGTGGATGTGGGCATGTCTTGTGGCTGTGGGCATGTCTTGTGGATGTGGGCATTTCTTGTGGCTGTGGGCATGTCTTGTGGCTGTGGGCATGACTTGTGTCTGTGGGCATGTCTTGTGTCTGTGGGCATGTCTTGTGGGTGTGGGCATGTCTTGTGGCTGTGGGCATGTCTTGTGGCTTTGGGCATGTCTTGTGGCTGTGGGCATGTCTTGTGTCTGTGGGCATGTCTTGTGTCTGTGGGCATGTCTTGTGTCTGTGGGCATGTCTTGTGGCTGTGGGCATGTCTTGTGGCTGTGGGCATGTCTTGTGGGTGTGGGCATGTCTTGTGGGTGTGGGCATGTCTTCGCCCACAGCTGCCACCAATCAACGAGTCATATCATGGCAGGTCAGAAGGCTTAGCAAGACACTGCCAATGAGGTATATACTTGTGCCGGAGATCAAATATGTGACTAATGTAATCATATGCTTCTCTTCTCATGTCGCAATGGAGGAAGACATTCTATTCACTTGCTTGTATCTCTCTTTTTGACTCTTTCTTTCTCTCACTCTCTCTTATATCTCATTTTAATAAAGATTATTATCTAATTATTGCAATAATTCAATAATTAGGTTTAGTGTTTTAAAAACGTTTGGCAGAAAACGTTATTTTATATCAGTTCATATAAACGCTGTGGCCCTCACAAGCATAACAACTTTTAAACATTCTCAAAATCACGATTATAAACGTAATTTAAAACGTAATAAAAACGGAAAAATCGTTTTTTTAAACGTATTAAAAACGAAAATAAATGTTGCTGGATCTCGTATCTTTCTCTCTCATTACTGTCCCATCTCTCTGTCGTTACTCTGTCTTTCTCTCGTTACTCTCTTATTTCTCACTGATTTTCAATATCATTCCTTTTACTGTCTCATCTCTCTCTCCAATTACCCTCCCATCCCTCTCTCTCATTATTCTCCTCCTCTGTTTCATTACTCTTCCATCTTTCTTTCAATCTCATCATCTTTAACCTATTTATCTTTCATCTTTCTCATTACTCTCGCATCTCTCATTAATCTTCCATCTGTGTCCCATTTCTCTTCCACCTCTCATATTTCCTTTCTCAATCTCCCTCCCATTACTCTCTCATCTCTTCCATCTCCTATTTCTTTGACCTCACTTCTTCTCTATTTTCCTCTCTTCCCCCTCCATCTATCCCTCTGTCTCCCATTCCCACCAGCCTCTCACCACTTTCCTCTGTTCCCCGCTCCCTCTCTCCCTTCCTCTCACCCTCACCATCTTTTCCCTTCCACTGTCTACCCCTCTCCCACTCTCTCTCCCAGCCTCTGACATTGTCCCTCACCCTCATTACGGGGGAGAGAGCTTCATAATACATTCACCAACGCTGAAAAAATGGCTGACAGCCAAGGAGAGTTTTGACTCGACAACAAAAGGGATCAGGAATTATAAAAAGCCGATGCTGTCAACCTCTGGAGTAGCCTAGCGAGTGTCTGCGAGAGCAGCCACGAGCCTTGAAGCAGGCTGCTGTAGGCTGCTGTAGGGTCTGGCGAATATCTGGGGGAGCAGCCACGAGCCTTGAGGCAGGCTGCTGTAGGCTGCTGTAGGGTCTGGCGAATGTCTGGGGGAGCAGCCACGAGCCTTGAAGCAGGCTGCTGTAGGCTGCTGTAGGCTGCTGTAGGGTCTGGCGAATGTCTGGGGGAGCAGCCACGAGCCTAGAAGCAGGCTGCTGTAGGCTGCTGTAAGGTCTGGCGAATGTCTGGGGGAGCAGCCACGAGCCTTGAGGCAGGCTGCTGTAGGCTGCTGTAGGGTCTGGCGAATGTCTGGGAGAGCAGCCACGAGCCTTGAGGCAGGCTGCTGTAGGCTGCTGTAGGGTCTGGCGAATGTCTGGGGGAGCAGCCACGAGCCTTGAAGCAGGCTGCTGTAGGCTGCTGTAAGGTCTGGCGAATGTCTGGGGGAGCAGCCACGAGCCTTGAAGCAGGCTGCTGTAGGGTCTGGCGAATGTCTGGGGGAGCAGCCACGAGCCTTGAGGCAGGCTGCTGTAGGCTGCTGTAGGGTCTGGCGAATGTCTGGGGGAGCAGCCACGAGCCTTGAGGCAGGCTGCTGTAGGCTGCTGTAGGGTCTGGCGAATGTCTGGGGGAGCAGCCACGAGCCTTGAAGCAGGCTGCTGTAGGCTGCTGTAAGGTCTGGCGAATGTCTGGGGGAGCAGCCACGAGCCTTGAGGCAGGCTGCTGTAGGGTCTGGCGAATGTCTGGGGGAGCAGCCACGAGCCTTGAAGCAGGCTGCTGTAGGGTCTGGCGAATGTCTGGGGGAGCAGCCACGAGCCTTGAGGCAGGCTGCTGCAGGCTGCTGTAGGGTCTGGCGAATGTCTGGGGGAGCAGCCACGAGCCTTGAAGCAGGCTGCTGCAGGCTGCTGTAGGGTCTGGCGAATGTCTGGGGGAGCAGATACGGATCTTGTGGCAGGCTGGTGCGGCCTGCAGACTAGCCATGTCGAGGAACCTGCGCGCTTTATGCAGGATTGTGAAAAATAAAGTAGGTACATTGAAGCAAGCTGCAGGCCTGGTCACGCCGCGAGAACTTAGACGGTTGGGCTAAAACTAGGCGAAACCTGAGTTAGGAAAAATAAATACTTTACTAATTATAATATGTATTAATACGATTACATATTTTCACAAGCCGTGTCTTAGGTATTAATAACGTACCTTCTTGAGGTTATCTTGAGATGATTTCGGGGCTTTAGTGTCCCCGCGGCCCGGTCCTCGACCAGGCCTCCATCCCCAGGTAGCAGCCCGTGACAGCTGACTAACACCCAGGTACCTATTTTACTGCTAGGTAACAGGGGCATAGGGGTGAAAGAAACTCTGCCCATTGTTTCTCGCCGGCGCCTGGGATCGAACCCAGGACCACAGGATCACAAGTCCAGCGTGCTGTCCGCTCGGCCGACCGGCTCCCTTACATAGTTGTAACAAGGGCACAACTACCCCGCTACTGTAGTGTCACATGTAGTCAAGCTCACCCTTCACCAGACATCAGTGCTCGCTGGCCTCAGACTTCACCCGCTGAAGCACCTGACTTCATCTCCAGCTTAATTCTCAATGGAGGATTTTCATGATTTAAATTTTCTGGGATAAAATTGGCGTGGAGATATTTAGTGATGGCAGCAGTACCTGTATGAGAAGTATTGTCATCAGTGGTAGGGATGCTTCAAGCAAATTAAGTTTATTATTAATAAAAAGAGACCAGATATTACCCCTGACGAAGTCTTTAAATGTTACTCTCTGCTTAATACTGAATATATAATTCTGACCAAATAATGCTGAACAAATAAGGCCTAATTACGTATAAATATTTGAAGAGCAGAGATGCATGATATGCGCTGAGCGCAAACGATGTAGTTAGTGCTAAAGATGCCATACATGGTCGATGTTTAGGACTTGTCAAACTTAATACTCACACAGTTTATGGGAGGAAGATTATAAACACATGCCCCATACACTTGGACCACTTGAGCCTGGAAATAAGTAGCAGATCACTGTAGTTCTACCAGATCACTGTAGTTCTACCAGATCACTGTAGTTCTACCAACCAGGCCACCAACACCAACAATAAGGCAGGACTCTACAGACACACACCACTTGTATCCAACAGGAATTCTCTCTATATCTAGCTATCTCTTCCTACGTATAGACACACACACACACATCTATATATATATATATATATATAGATATATATATAGATATATATAGATATATATATATATATATATATATGTGTGTGTGTGTGTGTGTGTATATAAGTATCCACTATGAAAATAAACCGAACGTTCAGAACGTTTTTGTGTTTCAACACATTATCAAGAAAATACAATAGAATACTGTATCAAGTATACAGTATACCACTGTATCAAGTATACAGTATACCACTGTATCAAGTATACAGTATACCACTGTATCTGTAATTCTCTTACCCATGTGTATGGGCAAGAGACTTACAAGGAACCAGTCGTAGAGGAAATGTGAGCACTGTGGAGAAATACCTGACAAACTCCTGGAACATTACCTAACACAGTGCACAGTTACAGCCACAACAGACCCCTGGAACATTATCTAACACAGTGCACAGTTACAGCCACAACAGACCCCTGGAACATTATCTAACAGTGCACAGTTACAGCCACAACAGACCCCTGGAACATTATCTAACACAGTGCACAGTTACAGCCACAACAGACCCCTGGAACATTATCTAACACAGTGCACAGTTACAGCCACAACAGACCCCTGGAACATTATCTAACACAGTGCACAGTTACAGCCACAACAGACCACTGGAACATTATCTAACACAGTGCACAGTTACAGCCACAACAGACCATTGGAACATTATCTAACACAGTGCACAGTTACAGCCACAACAGACCTCTGGAACATTATCTAACACAGTGCACAGTTACACATTGGTAACACGTCACCAATGACGCAACACGTCACCAATGACGCAATGTCACCAGTGACGCAACACGTCACCAATGACGCAATGTCACCAATGACGCAACACGTCACCAATGACGCAACGTCACCAATGACGCAACACGTCAGCAATGACGCAACACGAATTTTCTCTCCCGAAAGCGTCGTGGGATTTCTAATTGTGTAGATTTTATTTCATTAAACAATTAAATTGTGAAGCAGAGTTGACGCAGTAGTTGCGTCACTGGCGACGCTTATTGGCTCTCTCAAAAGTGGGTTCAGCTTCGCGTAATAGTTCGTTAAGGCGGAGAGTCAGGCGGCCTTAATTGCCTTGTTTGCATTTGTATCCGCATTCCGAACGTCTTTAGTTGCCATTCCCGGGATCGGCTTGGTGGCCCATGGTGACCCATGGTGACCCATGGTGGCCCATGGTGGCCCATGGTGGCCCATTGTGGCCCATGGTGACCCATGGTGGCCCATGGTGGCCCATGGTGACCCATTGTGGCCCATGGTGACCCATGGTGACCCATGGTGGCCCATGGTGACCCATGGTGGCCCATGGTGACCCATGGTGACCCATGGTGACCCATGGTGACCCATGGTGACCCATGGTGGCCCATGGTGGCCCATGGTGGCCCATGGTGGCCCATTGTGACCCATGGTGACCCATGGTGACCCATTGTGGCCCATGGTGACCCATGGTGGCCCATGGTGACCCATGGTGGCCCATGGTGACCCATGGTGGCCCATGGTGGCCCATGGTGACCCATGGTGGCCCATGGTGGCCCATGGTGGCCCAAGGTGGCCCATGGTGGCCCAAGGTGGCCCATGGTGGCCCATGGTGACCCATGGTGGCCCATGGTGACCCATGGTGACCCATGGTGGCCCATGGTGGCCCATGGTGACCCATGGTGGCCCATGGTGGCCCAAGGTGGCCCATGGTGGCCCAAGGTGGCCCATGGTGGCCCATGGTGGCCCATGGTGGCCCATGGTGACCCATGGTGGCCCATGGTGACCCATGGTGGCCCATGGTGACCCATTGTTGCCCATGGTGGCCCATGGTGACCCATTATGGCCCATGGTGGCCCATGGTGATCCATGGTGACCCATGGTGGCCCATGGTGACCCATGGTGGCCCATGGTGACCCATTATGGCCCATGGTGGCCCATGGTGGCCCATGGTGACCCATTGTTGCCCATGGTGGCCCATGGTGACCCATTGTGGCCCATGGTGACCCATGGTGGCCCATGGTGACCCATGGTGGCCCATGGTGGCCCAAGGTGGCCCATGGTGACCCATGGTGGCCCATGGTGATCCATGGTGACCCATGGTGGCCCATGGTGACCCATGGTGGCCCATGGTGACCCATTATGGCCCATGGTGGCCCATGGTGGCCCATGGTGACCCATTGTTGCCCATGGTGGCCCATGGTGACCCATTGTGGCCCTTGGTGGCCCATGGTGATCCATGGTGATCCATGGTGATCCATGGTGACCCATGGTGGCCCAAGGTGGCCCATGGTGGCCCATGGTGGCCCATGGTGGTCCAAGGTGGCCCATGGTGACCCATGGTGGCCCATGGTGATCCATGGTGATCCATGGTGGCCCATGGTGACCCATGGTGGCCCATGGTGACCCATTGTGGCCCATGCTGATCCATGGTCGCTCATGGTGGCCCATGGTGATCTATGGTGACCCATGGTGGCCCATTCCCCACACCACACACCATCCCCCACACCACACACCATCCCCCACACCACACACCATCCCCCACACCACACACCATCCCCCACACCACACACCATCCACCACACCACACACCATCCCCCACACCACACACCATCCCCCCCACACTACACACCATCGCCCACACCATCCCCCACACTACAGTCTCAACTCTGGTGCCAACGTACTCAAGGATGGTGATAAAGGGCCGCGTGGCTGATGAAAGCTGTTCCATTTCTGGTATGATGGTGGGTACTGTGTGGTGATGAGTATGATGCTGGGTACTGTGTGGTGATGAGTATGATGCTGGGTTCTGTGTGGTGATGAGTATGATGCTGGGTACTGTGTGGTGATGAGTATGTGCATACTAGCGTATAACCCGTTATGGTCCTCCTCGCCTCGTGGCTCTGGGCTCCACGCCTCTCACAGACATGTGTTGTATCTTGGCGAGATCTGCTCTGAGATCTGGTTTTCTCTACCTTGAAGATGTGCTGGTGCTTGTTTGGACTAAAATGTGCGCTTATCTGTATGGTTGCTTGTGTGTGTGTGTGTGTGTGTGCGTGTGTGTACTCCCCTAGTTGTGTTTGCGGGGGTTGAGCTCTGGCTCTTTGGTCCCGCCTCTCAACCGTCAATCAACAGGTGTACAGATTCCTGAGCCTATCGGGCTCTATCATATCTACACTTGAAACTGTGTATGGAGTCAGCCTCCACCACATCACCCCCTAATGCTTTCCATTTGTCAACCACTCTGACACTAAAAAAGTTCTTTCTAACATCTCTGTGGCTCATTTGGGCACTCAGTTTCCACCTGTGTCCCCTTGTGCGTGTTCCCTTTGTGTTAAATAGACTGTCTTTATCTACCCTATCAATTCCCTTCAGAATCTTGAATGTGGTGATTATGTCCCCCCAAACTCTTCTGTCTTCCAGCGAAGTGAAGTTTAATTCCCGTTGTCTCTCCTCGTAGCTCATACCTCTCAGCTCGGGTACTAGTCTGGTGGCAAACCTTTGAACCTTTTCCAGTTTAATCTTATCCTTGACTAGATATGGACTCCATGCTGGGGCTGCATACTCCAGGATTCGCCTGACATATGTGGTATACAAAGTTCTGAATGATTCTTTACACAAGTTTCTGAATGCCGTTCGTATATTGGCCAGCCTGGCATATGCCGCTGATGTTATCCGCTTGATATGTGCTGCAGGAGACAGGTCTGGCGTGATATCAACCCCCAAGTCTTTTTCCTTCTCTGGCTCCTGAAGAATTTCCTCTCCCAGATGATACCTTGTATCTGGCCTCCTGCTCCCTACACCTATCTTCATTACATTATATTTGGTTGGGTTAAACTCTAACAACCATTTGTTCGACCATTCCTTCAGCTTGTCTAGGTCTTCTTGAAGCCTCAAACAGTCCTCTTCTGTTTTAATCCTTCTCATAATTTTAGCATCGTCCGCAAACATTGAGAGAAATGAATCGATACCCTCCGGGAGATCATTTACATATATCAGAAACAAGATAGGACCGAGTACAGAGCCCTGTGGGACTCCACTGGTGACTTCACGCCAATCGGAGGTTTCACCCCTCACCGTAACTCTCTGCTTCCTATTGCTTAGATACTCCCTTATCCACTGGAGCACCTTACCAGCTACACCTGCCTGTCTCTCCAGCTTATGTACCAGCCTCTTATGCGGTACTGTGTCAAAGGCTTTCCGACAATCCAAGAAAATGCAGTTCGCCCAGCCCTCTCTTTCTTGCTTAATCTTTGTCACCTGACAAAGATTAAGACAAATTCTATCAAGCCTGTAAGGCAAGATTTACCCTCCCTGAACCCATGTTGGCGATTTGTGTGTGTGTGTGTGTGTGTGTGAGTGTGTACTTACCTACTGGTGTGGACTTCAGAAACCCTTATCGCTTAATATACTTGTATATATATCATCTTGATTTTGAAGGCTCTGTTATATTACTTAGACACTGAAAACTTGCATTGTCTCCGTGGCTTATCTGGATATTTAGTTTGCATTTGGGTTTATATTTATGTAGAGCCCAATGTTAAATAGTGCCTGTTATTTTTCGTTCGGAATTTTGTATGTAGTGATCATGTCTTCCTTGCTTGTTCTCGCTTCCCTTAACGCAATGTTGACTCCTTTTATTTTTCCTTATTAGTCACACCTCTCAGTTCTGGGACTTGTGTCAGGTGGTAAGCCTCTAAGCTTTCCCTACTCTCTCGTTTTCTGTATAACAAAATAACTGCTCAACATTAAGGCCGCTTATTGCTGAACCGCTCAATGTAGGAAGGTAATTATCGGGGGAACGCGCCAAGTTATTACGACTATATAGCACTGGGAAGGGGTCAGTATAAGGATTTAGGATGGGACGGGAGGAAGGAATAGTGTCAAACCACTTAGAAGGTCGGGGATTGAACACCGACCTGCATGAAGCGAGACCGTCGCTCCACCGTCCAGCCTAAGTGACAGGAAATTTCTGTCTTAAATATATAGGTAGATAGGTAGATAGATAGATTTATAAGTGTACGTACAAATATAGACGAAAATAATCGGTATTGTGGTTTTAATCCAAAATTTTCTTTTTAAATAAACCACAAATTTCACCGAAAATGACAAATTACAGATCAGAAGGATTTCAGTAATTCGTCATTCGACGACTGTAACTTGGAACCTCCAAAATGCGATAGAAAAAGTTGGCGTAGCCTCCAGACTGGGAGTCACACACCAAAGCCACGTCGGCCCACTGCAAACTTTCCAGCGTCGTCTGGAAAAGTTTGAAACATTTCCAGATGAGGCAACGAGAGCCGTGGCCACGCTAGTGTTGGCTTCACCCCCATGATCCGGGTCTTGGCGTTTAATTAGGGAGTGTCAGCAGTAATTCGAAGCTCACCTGTGGATCAAAGGATCTCCAGATGAAGCTCTCCTGGACTAGCAGGAGGGAGGGAGCGAGGGAGGGAGGGAGCAGGGGAAGAGATAGCAAAAAAAATTATACATGGAGAGAGGGCAGTAAGCTGAGCGATGGTGGCAAGCTCACCTGACCGCGGTCACTTCAATTAGCTTCTCTTTCTCTCATCAATTATCTCTTAGTCTCCCATTGCTCTTCTCTTCTCGCTCGCCCAGAGCAGGTCTGCAAGGCTTTAGTATCATGGCACACTCTTCCTCCCCACCTCTCTTTCCTCTCCTCCTCCTCTCTCTCTCTCTCTCTGTGTACGTGTCTGTCAAGCGAGTCTTTACTCCACCTGCGCTTCCTGGTTCCTTGCACTAACTCCTACAAGTAACTATTCGTCTTCACCTGTGTGTGTGTGTGTGTGTGTGCGTGTGTGTGTAGGTGTGCTCCGTACCTTCATACAACCCACCTCTCCCGGCCCATCTCCTGCTGTCTCTCTCTTCTTCCTTCTTCCATTCCTCATACATCTCATCTTTTATATCTTCTCTATTCTCTCATCTTCTCTCTTCATTTACATCTTATCTCTTCCATTCCCTCTTTCATTACCTCTTCTCTGTCTCTCTTTTTGATATTTTTTCTTTCCTTTCGCTCCCTTTCGCTCTCCTCTCTCTCTCTTCCCCATTCCTGTCCGTCGCTTCCCTTTTCCTCTCCCATCTCCACTCTGTCCTCTCCCCAGTCCTCTCTTATCTTCCTTCTTCTCTTTCTTTAATCTCTTCACTCATTTCTCTTCTCTGTCATTAACTCTTTCTCTCTGCCCTCTCTTCTCTCTTATCTCTCCACTCTCCCTCCCTCGCCCTTTTCCTATCTCTCCTCTCCTCTACCTCTCCCCTCCCCCAGCTTCCCACTATACTCCCACACAAATAACAATAAGTTTTAATTACTCTCTGACGAACGATGTGCGCGCCAAAACCAGTTTTTCCAACAACGTCGATTTTCCATCATTTTAAGCCATTGAAACTTGGCCCGAAACTGGAATTGTTGTAGCTACCTTTTTTTGGCTTTCTGGCGAGGCACGGCAAGTGTGTAGGAGGAGGAGGAGGGCGCTTGTGAGGGAGGGGGGAAGGAGGAGGGTTATTATGAGTGTTTGTGAGGTAATATGAGTAAGAATATGGGGTGGGGGGGGGGGGTATCATGAGTGTATCTGTGGGAGGAAGCATGAGTAAGTGTGAAGGAGTGGGTGAGAAAGTATGAGGGATATCATGAGTGTGTGCGAGAAAGAATGAGTTATTATCAGGGGTGTCATTAGTATGTGTGAAGAAGTATGGGTATGAGGAGCATCGTGAGTATATGTGAGTAAGCACGAACTAGTATGAGAGGCATTATGAGTCTGTGTGCTAGGAAGTATGAGTAATTATGAGAGGGCATGATTTATTATCAGATGCGTGCGCAAATGAGTGAGGAAGAATGACTTTGTATCACATCAAGATCGAATCTACGAGTGTGTATGGGTAAATATGACGAACATCAGTGTTATGTGAGTGAGTGAGTGAGTATGAGTACCATGAGGACCGTCAAGAATATGTCAGAAGAAGAGTGTCGCTATGTATGAGAGTCTTCAAGAGTGTATATCATAGAGTATGAGATACATAGAGTATGTATCATAGAGCTTCCTCAGCCCTCATCTCCTTCTTCACCTCACTCCCCTCCTGCCCCCCCCCCCCTTCCCTCACCCCCCCCTCACCACCTACCCCCCCCCGTCCCTCACCACCTGCCCCCCCCTCACCCCCTGCCCCCCCTCCCTCACCCCCTGCCCCCCCTTCCTCACCCCCACTACCCCCCCCCTGGTTTATAATAAGCCCTGCACCCGGCCTCGGATACCTTCACAGCTCTGAACAACTTTTGACCTTTAAGAATTAATATGAGAAGACCCGGTGAGCGAGGGTGGTCCTCCATGGACCGGGTGTACCAGCGTGGTCCTCCATGGACCGGGTGTACCAGCGTGGTCCTCCATGGACCGGGTGAGCCAGCGTGGTCCTCCATGGACCGGGTGAGCCAGTGTGGTCCTCCA